GGTGTATGGATTTATAGATTTCTAGGTTTAAAAAATAGGAATTAGAAAACAGTAGAAAGAAAATGTTCCTGGAAAAATCATTAGTAAAGAGAAGAAAAATACTCCATTTTACAATGACCTCCAATGAGAAAAAGGAATTTCATATTTCAAAGAACTGAATTTGAATACTTTTACAGTGTATTGAGTTCTACTGGATGTGTGGTTGATTATATAAACATTTAAGCATATAGAATACATGTAAATATAATTTGTAAAGTTAATGGAATGGTAGAAGCTTTTTGCTGTAAATCTGATAAGGACTTAAAATCCTGATTCTATACTAGGTGTAGCACTTAAATTTTCAAAGAGCTGTTCAAATGCCTTCTATAAACTAATTTAAATTGCATACCAATTATTTCAGGTAAGTATTATCATTACTTCCATTTTACAGATGAATTACAGAAAGGCTAAGTGACTTGTTAAAAGTCTTATAATAAGAATTTGACCCAATTTGGCTCTAGAGTCTGTTCTCTTAGCCACAGTGATATATCACATGTTAAATACAGATGCTCCTCAGCTTACGATATGGTTACATCCTGATAAACCCCATTGTAAATAGAAAATATTGTTAAGTTGAAAATGCACTGAACACTCCGATGGACCTACTGTAAAGCTGAAAAATTGTAAGTTGAACCACTGTAAGTCTAAATGTTCCTCAGTTTATGATGAGGTTACGTTGTATAAATTCATCATAAAGTTGAAACATCAACTTTATGGTAAGTATGTAAGTCAAACTGTTTATTCAAAGTAAATGTAAAATAGTTAAATGTGAACAACCTACAGAATCAATAAAAACCAAATATTTATCATAATAATAAATATAAATTATCTAAATTTACCTGTTAAGAGAAAAATATGAGGTGGATCTATATACCCTGAATTTGAAAGAGCTTTGTGGATGTTTATAAACAAAAGGAGGAATAGCACTGAAAAAAATAATTAGTAGTTACTCTCTTCCATGTTTAAAAAACATCGAAAAGGC